TCTCGAAGAAATTGGCCTTGATGGAGCTGGTCTCGAGGATGGACTTCGATCTCTTCCCAAGCTCCTTCCCCTGGATGTTTGTGAATGTCTCCAAGGGGGCAGCTTACGACTGAAGCTCGGGCTTCGCCTGCGCCTTGGTGGAGACGGTGGTGTTGGCAAGCGTCGTCGCCGAAGTGGACTCCTTGATCTCCGCTCAGCTATCTTCCTCTGCTCAGAGCGAAGATGTCCAACATCAGATGCCAAGCCCCCAACGTCAGATGCAAGACCTTGCACAAGTCGCCTGATCTCCTCGATCTGAGTTGTTGTGGGATGGTCCACTAAAGCGCTATCGGCCGGAGCATCACCAACGCCTGCTCGGCTGGCAGCTACACTGCCGCGAGGCCGAATTGTAGTGGGCTGTGTTTTCGGGATCAGATGCTTGATCTGTCCCACACTAGCCCCAACATTCCTGCAATCGCTGCAGACTCCTCCACAACGCATCTCACCCCACATCCAAGACGACGAATGGATCAAGACAACGTTGTATCCCAAGGCCTTTAAGCACCTGAAAGCTGCGAAGCCCTGACCAACCGATCTATGGCGGCCTGATTTGCACTCCAGGTCCACCAAGATCCTTTCCTGCTGATGCTGGGTGACGAACTCCAAGATGCTATTGAGATGCTCGTTGAACTTGTCCACCTTGCTCAACGTCTCGAGGATCCTATGGTGCCAACCCACATGAGCTCTGAGACTTACGTCCTGATCAGGATCGTAAATGTCTTCACAGTTGATGGAAAGGGTGGCACGATTGGACCTCATGGCATGTCGTTGGAATCGTCGACCTCGAGTCACAATGATCACCTGTCTGTTGCTAAGCTGTTCTTCATTCAGTTTCGATTGCAAGACGTCATAGTCCCTTGAATGAAAACCAGTCTGATCGTGATCGGCCATGGCGCAGTCACTTGTCGATGCAGTGTACGCCAAGTTATACTTTCTATGACACTTTGGAATTTTGGGAAGCTCATTTGGTGGTGTGTTGATGATGTCCGTCAACCCTTCAGTCAAGTTCATCACAAGTAAACCTGATTTTGAACACCTCTTGATATTCAATGGTTGATCTTGAATGGATACCACTCCTTTTGCTAGGTCCTTCACTAGGCCTAATTTGGTTTGTGCATGCAATGAAAGAAGCAATGGACTGTTGCCTGTTGACAATTGATATGAATCCAATTCACCATTCATGTTCCCGTCTGGAAGCAGCAGCGAAAAAGGAATAGATCTCACACCTTCGGTCTTGGTATTGCCACTTCCCAGACCAGCGAAACTCTTACAACTGTCATCCTTCAATGGCATGCTGTAACCCAAACGGGCCAGTCGTGCTTCTGCATCGACTGCCCAGGCTTTGCTATGACAAGTGCTGTTGCAACCTTCATCCAACACTGCAAAGACATGGGATGACCTGGCAATGTCAACAGTTTCAAAGTTCATGTAAACCAAGTCTTGAGGGTATTGAATGTCACTTCCATGCAAACAAATGCCAACGTACCCAGCTAACTCCCTGCCCGAGGGGTCACCGTGCCCATCTTCATTGACCAGAGAAAAACTGTCCTCTTCCTCTGTCACGTCATTGATGGCTTGATGAAGTAGCTCATGAAGTCGTGCACGGGTCATGACCTCAGATTGACAGGTTTCGGTAACGAGAGTGGCAAACAGGGGCAACAACTCTTCCAACTGGACTGGATTCAATCCATCCGATTCTTCAACCAATGATTCAACAATGGGGACTGCTCGAACTGATGCTGTTTCAACCTTCTTGGCAATTGCAACACGCTCCTTACGAATCTGCATAGGAGCTTCATCAATGAACGTGCAACACTTCTTGCAGAAAGTACGGTGAGTTGATTTGCTGGATCCCCGAAAATCTGTGTCGTCATGAGGGCAATTTTCAGGGGTCATCAACGGTACCATGTCACGTCTTGTTGTTTCGGAATGACCGCACACAAGACAGGTCTTCCTGATGGTGTACCCCGTAGAACCTTGTTTTGTAAACTCACGACATTCCTGACACTTGTTCGGCAAAGGTGGATTTGGGGGTTTCCTCCTGCCAGTTTCCCGAGTCACCAAGAAATCTCGGTGCTCGACACGCTCAACAGGGACTTCGCGCAAGTGAATCCCATCAGCACCAACCACAAAGTACTTGTCAACCCAATTCAACCATGTGGCATAATATGGACTCTTGGGGGTATGTTTCTTGGCATGATGATAATACCCTGTCTGTTCAAACAACACATTCCAAAAAGACAAACCCTTGAACTGTCCAACAGGAAAGATGCACCCATGGTCCTCGGGTCTCATTGTAACATCGAGATCCCGGGAAATCAAGCCAACGTTGCTGCTGGATGCTGCTGCACGTGAAGGTCTGCTGCTAGGCTTCGCTTGTCGAACTGCCATCATAGCAACTGCATCTCTGTCACGGTCAGGTGAAGCTGTCAAAGTCACACCATCGTCATCTGAAGAATCACTCATGTCGGCAAAGTGAGCTGCGGGCTTTGGGGCTGGCCTTCCAGGGGCTCCGGTTTTGGACCCCGGGAATTTACATTCCGGGTCACCGGCCCAGTGCCCTATGGTGCCGCATCTCAAACATTTGCTCTTTGACTTCAGCTCTGCGAGCTTCTGTCTCCTCTGATCGATCGTGAGGTTGGACTTCACGATCTTTCCTTTCCCCTTTCCTTTGGGCTTCCCGAAGGATTTGCCCTTGCCACCTGCTTTCCCCATTGCGGTGAAAGCAGCAAGTTGTAGCTGGATGGCGTCTCCTGCTTGTCGATCGTCTTCTGCACCTTCAAGTTCAAGCAAGCTGTTCAATGCAACTGCCTCGTACTCATCGACATCATCAAAGTAATCAAACTCGTTGTCACCTTCTAGGTTTCCTGGCTCCTCTTCTGCAATGTCACCAAGCATGCCAACATATGAATCATCCTCCCAGGATTGATTCGCAGTTTCATCCCAAGATTCTGCATGATCCTCCCCATCATCGGGGTAGGCTGCATAAGCTGCTTGGGAATACGATCCCTTCGAAGAAGGTTTGCCTTTGCCATAACCCTTGCCTGTTGATTTGCCAAACTGTTGAGGATTCCCACGTCCTGTCCAGGATCGTGACCCTTCTCGCAAGTGGGTGCCACTGTAGTTCTCGATCAGCACCTTGCCGACACCTTCAAAATCCTTAGTGTCTGCACAAGCCTTCACAACGAGGATCTCTTGTCGATTGAGTCCACTCAACTCCAACATCAACTCTGTCCTCAAGCTGTCTGAAAACACCATTGTGTCATCCAACTCGCATAGCATATGCCACCAACGTCGTCTCCTCTGAACATAGGAAAGCATGGGTTCGCCTGGTTGGCGAGACAAAGGACCACCTTGCTTCTGTCCTGCACGAAAAAGTTCCTTTGCTTCCTCACGAGCTCTTGGAAACACATGGGATTTGATCTCACCCACAAGTTTCACTAAGCCACCAGGTTCGGACAACACTTCAAGTCCAAGATCCCTAGCTATTGAGAAAGCATCTCCTCTCAGTCCTTCAATCACCTTGTTGACCAATGGTCCACGATCAACATCTGTCTTCTGCTTGCCGGACTTCGAGGATTTTCGGCTCGCTCCAGACTTCGGAGTCGAGACTGCTGATGCAGGCTGGGCTGCTTGAGTTGCACCCGACAAATCTGGAAAAGTAGCATACTCATCTGCATCTTCTGCGGCAGGCTCTGTTGCTGTGGTCCCAACGGGATCCGCAGACTTACTTGTCTCCTCCAATTGTTGCTCATAAAGATGAATCCGAAGGAGAGTCCTGAACTGCCAATCATGAAAGTTCGCCGCATCACCTGCATAGATGTATGATCCACTCTTCGTCTCAAGTGGTGCCGACGAATGGCGCTCCTGGCTGAAACGAAGGCCATTGATCGACATGATGCTCGCTCCGTTCGGAGTCGAACAAGAAGAAAAAACTGCAGACGATAAGATTCTTATCGTCTGCTTTCAGACGTTAACAAGTGCCTGCCCTGGTCAGGGTCAGACAGATTCCCGAACCACGACACACTCGAAGTTCAGTTGATTCCCAAAGTTACCAGACTCAAATTCACAAAGAGGTCCCTGGGTCACTGACGTACCACCGGATGCGGGTCGTCACCCGCTCCGCTACCAATCTGAATTGGAAACGGGATCGTTAGTGCCCAACTTTTACCACGGCAGCGCGGTATGACTCAAGGGCCCTAAAGCCAAATGTCAACGGGGGCATGTGATCACTTGGCTATACAAAATATACATTAGACAGGTCAAACTCACATATATAATAATATGTGTGTGTGTGTGAATATGATGTTTGCTACTGATGGATTTAGCGAAAGGAAAGGAATGGAAAGTTTACACATCGATTAATTGATTGCTTGATAGGGGCGGGGCTCATTGGTGAGTCAACGTGGATTCCAAAGGGAATACTATTTGTATCTAGTTGTTGCTTGTAAAATGGCGATCAGTCTGAGGTGTCAGGTGACATTCAATCCTAAACTGGCATTGTGCCGTTTGGCAAGTTGCGTTGTGATCAATGCTGCTCCTAACATCGATACCGGGGGGTTGGAATGGCACTATCAAAAGGTACACAGTGCAATCACCAATTACCATCGCGTTATTTAACATAGCCATGGAAAATGGCCCATTTATAGATGGTTTACCTATTAAACATGGTGATTTTCCATGGCTATGTTAGTCATAACCAGATGGTACCTCCCTTGCGCCAATCATTCACTGAATGAAAATAGGTCGAAACGACAAACGATCATCAGCAACAACTGGTATTTATGACATTCGCAGAAGGTGGGCACAACAACCAAGATCAAATGTCCTTTGAAGATCTTTCAGGTACACATTCCTACCAGAAAAAACTTACAGTAAATAGATATGTCATAGACCATGGATATCAGTGATCTCAGGCCCTAAACCATTGACAATGACACATCTGCATGCTGTGGCCGATCCTCATAGAGCCGGTTGTGGACAGTTCTGCTGCACATATCTTTGATCAGAGAGACCTGGGAATCATCAAACGCAAGGGAGAGACTGGTTGGTGGTTGACCTACCCCTCTGAAAAATGATGGAGTTCGTCAGTTGGGATGATGACATTCCCAATCTATGGAAAAATAAAAGCCATGTTAAATGTTCCAAACCACCAACCATCTTATACATATCACTAGAATCCGAATTCTATATCATCTACGGTAGCCAGTAAACCAACATCGCTACGGAACATCGCCCTTTTGATAGGTAAATCATCAACCGAAATTGGCCATTTCCATAGCTATTTTAGTTTACTGGCAAATCAGGTGACTGCTGCGACAGGATGCACAGGTGACCTGGATCAGAAGCTTCAGGAATTGATCTAGAATTTCGCTAGCTACAAGTTCATAAAGGATTTATCTATCTATCCATCTCTCTATGATATCTATGATATCCATGATATCCATCCATCCATCTATCTGTGTATTTTATCTGTGTACTTGTGCTTCATCTGTTTCTAACGCGATTACATGTGTATCGCTGTGTATCCATCTATCTATTTATTGATTTGATTTGTTCATCTACTGTATCTACGCATCTGTAGGGAATATGCCCCAAATTGATGGCCCTTTTGGGCGGAACCGGGGGCCGCACATCACGCATGGGATCCTCTCCCTCAGGCTTCTCAAGCCTTAACAAGATAAATGGGGGAATGGGATGATTGTAAACATAGTTGTGGATTGGATCATTCCTTCATTCCTTACCAAGCACCGGTAAGTACAGTAATGATACTACAACATATTAGCACCAACAAATTATTCAACCGGTTCCAAACAGATTCGTCACTCGGGGACATGTCTTCCGCAGTGCGGGAAAAACATGACAAAATGAAATTTAAAATGATACGTTCCCTCTAATATCAAACACACCCAAGAAATCCTGGTCCAGTCGTGGATCTATTCATTTTAGGACCCATGTGATGGAATTTTAATGCATTTTAGTAGTTTAACATCCTCTCCAAGGAAAGGGATTTTCTCCTATGCCCCACGGGCCCCTGCTAAGTAGCATCCTCTTTTGTGTTCTTTTGTGGCTCAGTTCACCACATCTCAGTTGGCTGAGCTGAGGGCCTTTTGCCCTAGCCATGCCTCTAAGGTCTAAACGTGTCTAAACTCTACTAGGCTCTACTTGGGTTTTGTCTCAAATTGGGACCTAGTTTCTCCAAAATCCCATGGTTTATCATTGGTTTAACGCGTTTCGGTTTCCTCATTTTCTCCATGGAAACCTCTGAATTGCAATGCGTAGCCATAAATTGAGGGAATGAGATGGAATAAGTCCATCGATCTTTTTTAAGACAAACCCACTGAGGATGTTGGACGCGCTTTGGCCTCCTCCCCCCGATGTGCTTTTCGTGGGTCGCCTGACAGGGTGCGACGACGCCTCAGAACTTGTGCTGCCTGCCGGACCTTGGGTTCCTTGTTCTCCTTGGATTCCCTGCAGCTCAGTTGATCCTGGGATTTGCTCAAACCTTCCACTACTATTAGTTGCACCCCCCTGGAAACTCTGGTTTAGTATTGGGTGTATTCATTTTGGGGGCATATACTGGTGATTTTTTTAGTGTTGCAAAAATGGGATTAGTCATTAGTCTCCCCCTGTCTGGTGGACTAAGAATGTCCGATAAAAAGTCGCATCCAACAAATCTCCAAGGATCTTTGGGATCTTTTGCCTTGGCTGAAGGTAAACGCTCCAGCCTGCAAGGCTTGTGCTTGGCCTCTGAGGGACACCTTTCTTCGCTGGGCGCAGCTTTTGGCATCCTGTCCAGAGTTCTGCTAGGTTCGCTGGCTGCCTTACCCTCTCCATCCCTTGGCCTTGGCACGGCCCTGGCCCCTGCAATCCTCAGCTCTTTGGGTCGGCCATCCTCAATTTTTTTCTCCAAAGTTTCAGATTCACCCACCCGAGCCTCCCTTGGCTCAGCCAGATGTGCCCTCACCATGCCGGCCCTCTCGCGGCTGGGTGGCCTGCCTGGCCTCGTGCAGCCATCGGCCCAGCAACATCCACTACGCCAGCAGGGGCGCTCCCGTGCCGCCAGATCTTCCGGGCTCAGTCCAACCCCCTGTGGGACCACGTCCTTGATGTGTGTGGTGCGCCCAGTTCGCGGGCGAATGGTGGAACCCAGCAGGCTCTGCAAAGAGGTGTGCCGCACACTGTTGGGCAGGCGGCTGTGGCAGTTGTGGCCAAACAGGTCCAGGATGCTGATGCAGGACGCCTCGCCGATTTGGGCCCAAGTACCTTGATCATAGGGAACCGGCTCCTGCCAGCACAGCACACTGTGAAAATGCGCAGAGCCTAGTTTCTACGGTATACTGATGCAATCTGGTGCGCAATAGAAATTGGAAGGAATTACCAGAATTACCAGACCATTGGTTCCTCTTAACAAGAATAGACCACGTCGATCTATGTTGATCGATTTTGGTGGATGTCTTGGCCACAGTGCCGTGCATGTGCTCAATGACAGACTCACTAGTTTCTACCTTTCTGGTATCCGTCATCGGTTTCAAAACACAAGACTTTCCGGACAACCCATTTGTCAAGTTTCAACAAACATGTGGGGCAATATGCATGGCCCGTAAACAAATCGAATCAAGAGTTTAATAACACATCCGACTCACATGCGTCCATCAATCAGCGCCTATTGGTTTGCTTGGTCTCTTGATGTGTCCATCTCGCAGTCTCAATGCAACTGAGAGATGTCCATCAGCAACACGGGTTTTGAAATATGCTTATTTGGCGGGTAATTATATATGGAAGTTTCCCCAAAAAAAAAAGTCCTAAAATTGGGGGTGTCTCCAAATCATCCATTTTATATAATAGGAAATTCCAGTTAATAAATCCATTTTCGGGTACCCCGGTACCCCCATTGGAAAGTGTGGAGAGGACTGGGATCCAGCACTTCCCCCGTTCCCCCCGGCTCCTCCGACCAGACTTGCGCGGCAGGTGGGTCCGCTTTGGTGAGCCCTTTGGGCGGCATGATGGGCCGAGAAAGTCGGCCCTTGTTGTAGTTGCACTCCTTGGAGGTGCCCAAAAGTGCCCCAGTTCGCTAAGTCGCTTCATGACTCCAACAACTAGGGTGTATGGCAATGAATGGTATACGGTACACATCTAACTATGAATGGGGGTATGTTACGGGTATATGGTGGTTATAAACCAACTTAGGGGCACCACCCCAGGGAAGGGGTCAGAAGGGGCCTCCAAAAGAAATGTGGAATTGATAGAGCAAGAATGGATCTGAAAAAGGGGATCTGCCTTCTGCTTCACATCTCACCTGGCAATCGGAAATCAACAGTTTCAAGAGGTGATTGATCTACAATTGCCATGCTTGATTTCTGAAAGCTAAACGAATACCAAGAATATGCGAAGAGATTCAAAGGAAAGTAGATTCCCACATATTCCCACTAGATTCCGTCAAAACTCCTCAGCAAATCCAAGACGCCAAAGTGTAAGAATTGCACAGCCGGCAGTCACGGTGGATTGCCACCCGGCCGGAACCGTGCTTCCCAATGCCCTCCCTGAACTCCTTCTCATAGTCATCTCCAAACTCACACCTTGGATTTGCCAGGGCCTCCAAAACAAGCATAAAAAAATAAAAATGCTAGAAACAGTCCCCAGAGTTTCCCTAAATGATGGATTTCCATTGGTTTCCTCTATGATTTCAATATATATTTCAATTCTGGGAACTTCATCAAACATATCAAAGCACCGTCTCGAGCCGGGTCACTGCTCCAGGTCAAAGTGTGGTGAATTCACTTGGAAGACGCGGGCATATCCCGAGTTCCAGCCTTGACCCGGCCCGGCCATGCGATTGGCAAATAAGAAGCAGCCTTTCTTGGAGGCATGGCCATGCAAATCCAGATAGAAGAGCAATCTGCCCTGTTTGGACCACAAGGACAAACATCTCTTCACGGCCCAAACGCCCTCATGACTTAGCACATTCGGCTTGTCATAGTGTCGGTTCAGGTTGAGACCGATGGTGTTGGTGCGGTAGTGGCCACATGCCACGCCGTCTGGGTTCAGCATCGGTACCAGCTTGAACTGGAACTGCTGTCTCAAACTGGAGGCCCTGGGGTCCTCTGACAACAGGAATCGCAGGAGACCCAAAAACACAAATTCTCCAGGCGTTTCACCCGGATGGACCCGAGCTGAGATGAAAATGATGGGCCGGTTCTCAAACTTCGGAACATTGGATGCAAGCGTGGCGCATGGCAAATCTTGCGGAAGTATATCCTTGGTGGTTTGGTCAGATCCCCAACTAAGTTGGTTTAACTTTCGGTCTGATCTGGTAAATCCATTAAACCCCAAAACACCAAAAATCCTCACAAATATACCCTCCAGCAAATCAACCTTGATATGGAAAATCCATCGTTTCCCTGGGAAATGATCTGGAAATGGTCCCTTTTTTCATGGAGTCTTCCGTAGCTTATAACCTTTAAGTGTTTATTTGTTGGAGGGTAAGTATGCGGCATCCAGCAGCTGGTTCTTCCCCACTCTTCTGTGGAATGGCTGTGATGGTCAGCAGATCCACCCTGCGGCCCTGCAGCGAGCGGTGTAGCAACTGACGCCGAAAGACGAGATCGCGGCCCGCCCGCGGAAACCAACAGTCGTTGATGGACCTTTTGGAGCCATCTGGTGTGGGTAAAACAATAAACCACCCATGACTGGGAACGGTTCATACCACCTATAAAAATGGTGACTGGGGGATGGTTTATGACATTTTACTACTGTGTTGCCTACATTACTGGGAAATCTGCTGGGCTGCTGGGAATCTATATGGATTCTGGTGAATTAATCCAGGGATTCTTCAGCAAATCCAGGGCCTGGACAAATTTCGCAGCGGCCGGTGGGGATCGGGCCAGGAATAGGTGTGATCAGCAAAGGCCTCCTCAAGCTCCTCCAAACATCACAAGTCAACGACATGTGACGTCCCTGGGTTTGTTGCCCCATAAAAATCCAAATGTTTGGTGTGAGCTATGAATTACCGCGCCAAAAAAATTACGGAAGTCTTGAAAGTTTCAATATCTTTGGATCTTTGGCCCTTTCGTACCTCCAGTAGGCCCTGGCATTCAAGGTAGCCATAGGGTGCACAGAAGGCAAAGTAAGTGGTGCCAGCCCCTCTGGATGCCTCATGCCTCCAGCGGATCCCAAAGGTGTCCCCCTCCCGGACGATGGAAAACTCCAAGCTGCTTCTGTCAGCCAGACGTCTCCAGGCATCACCCGGTCTCTTGCACCAGGGGCGATAGCCATCGCTGTACAACTTCGTGTGGTTATTCATATTCCGCACGGTCAAATACATTGACACCTCCCCCTGGATGGCCGGCAAAGGGTCTACTGAGTCTACTGAGTCTGCTGGAGGCGGAGCCACCTGGGTCACGTCTCTGAGAGTCTCAGCTTGGTCTCCTTCCATTGACGCTTTGTCAGCTGCACTGTCACTGAGACTCTCAGAGATTTCATCCTTACCCCTGTCCTCACTGGGAGCTGTGGCTGTGGCTTCCACGGAATCCTCATGGTTTCCATCTCCCTTCACTTCACAGCCAGGCTTTGAAGCTTCGCTAGTTTCGTTGCGCGGATCTGTCTGTTTCTGCTGCGCCGGCTGCGCCAGCTCCACCGGCTCCGCCACGGACAATCCGAAGAAAAACCAGCTCTTATAGCCTGTCTCGTGCACGCTTCCGCAGCAATCTGGGGCCACATCAATTGTGTACTCCAGGATGCCTTCAGCAGCAGCCAGCTCTACGTGGCCCATGTTGCCACTGTCAAAGTCGGAGGTGAAAACCTGGTGATTTCACCCCTGAAGATGGGGAAATACACGGTGCAGGATCCTCCCAAATAAGGAGAAATAGCAAACACATCTTTGGACCCATCAACAATTATTTGGGGAAATGATTTTGAGCCCAGTTTTTATTGACCTCTCCACCATATTCATTGTTTATATCTATTTATCATGTTTCCATATTTTTCCATGAACAAATCCAGAAATGGAAGTGAACCAGGAACCATGGGTCCAACCACCACGCGCTGCTGGTGCTTCAATCCCTTCGCAGCGCGAAGCTCCCTGGCAACTTCTTGGACCATCATGCATCGCCAACGGCTTGGTGCTTCTGTTGCTTTCAGCTCTGGGCTGGGTTTTCTTCATGGGAAAATCATGAGAATGAACCGGATGTCATGGGAATATATGGGAATAGAATGGAATTATCGAATTAAACCAACCATCAATTATATAATAAGGTTATAAACCATTATAAACCCAGATTTGACCAACCCAAACATAGGGATTTGTATCAGTAGTTATATAATAGGGATCTTATCCACAACACGCTGGTTTACTCTAAGGGCCAACCTGTTTTGGATTGTGTTCAGCAAAGGTGCGAAGCACAGCTTATCTAAATTTCAAACCATGTTCTGCTAAGCTGTTGCTGAGCTGAATGCATGTCTGGCTCATTGCAGTGCATCGTGAGCTACTGCTAAAATGGAGCCTGCAAAAAGCATGCCAGCCAATCTGTTCACCCAAACCTTTCTGAATGTTTCTGATCAAGATTCTCACGGATGCACCTCGCATGTGTGGGCCCCGAAAGTGAACTTCAACATCAGATAGCTCAACATTCCAAACAAAATCCACCCAAATCCCTCCAAAAGTCCTCAAAAAGCGATGTTTTTTTTTGCCAATTTTGCTTCATCCAGCCGCAAAACAGCTCCAGGGCTCCCGGCTTCTCTGAAATGGTGGCCAAGGTGTTCCTCAAGACCTCGTTGGCATTCGAGAGAGCCTGCCAAGGTGCGAAGACACTTTGTGCACAGGGCCATGTGTTTCCCAAAAGGGTGGACATTCAGTTCAAGACTGGGATAGGGCCCTGCTTTAATGAACGTTCTCTTGCCCATGGTGTTGAAAGACCGCAGCACTTTCAAGTGATCACAACTTGAATCAGCCAACGCAATTCCAGCCTCACATTCGTGCTTCGTTCGCTTCAAATCTGCGCGTAATTGTGCAACCTGTCACCGTTTCTTCCCAAAAATCATCTTGCAATACCTTGACTGAACCTTCAAAGCCAACAAACGTCATATGCTGGTAGTCGAAAAATTCGGTATAGCCCAAGAATCTGAATATCCACAGATTTATCATCACAAGATAACTAAAAGTTTTCATTCTGGGCACTGCAGTGGATTCAAACTGCCAGGCGCCTGCGTTGGATGCAGCTGGCTGGCAGCCACCTCGGCTGATCTCCCCAATTGGCGGTTTCTTAAAGTGGGAGATCTTCAAGTCACCATGGGTTTCAATACTAAGTCATAGTCTATTGACTTAGATGATTTGGGGTACCCCTATTTTTTGAAACCCCCAATTTTCTTAGTCGGCAACAAAAATCGATGATCACTCCGTCACATTAATTGGTTCAATGGTAGGTTGAGCCGATATTTCTCTCACTCCAACAACATTTATTGGAAAAAATATAGGTACGTCTTGGACCAAAAGATATCCTTAACTGACTGGCTATAGCTAAAAGATCCAAAAAAAGGGGGGGACGGGGTTAGGTCACCATCATTCACCATCAGCAGCCGCTGATACGGCGCCGAGCTCGGGCCGAGCCACGTCTCTCACCTCGTCCTCCAGCTGTGCGATCCGGGCATCCCGCTCCTCAATCTGCCCCTGGAGCTGCGCCTACGAATGCAGTGAATGGCACCTGGAACCATGGCGGGATATTGTTTAGTAGTCATGGATTGTATATACACACACATACTGTATAGATAGGATAGGATAGGATAGGATAGGATAAGATAAGATAAGAAAGAAAGAAAGATAGACAGATAGATAGATAGATAGGTAGATAGATAGATAGATAGAAAGATTAGATATATACATATATATACTATATAGATTATATTAAATTATATTATATCATATTATATCATATTATATTCTGTTATATTATGTTAAATTATATATATATTTTATATATATTATATATATATATATATTATAGGTATACAATATAGATATATTACAATATATATGATTATATATGATGATATATCGACCATATGATAGATAGGACTAGAATAGATCATACGCGTCGATGTTGTTGATCGCCAAAGCCATCCATCAATGGGCCCAAGGAATGTGAGCCTAGAAAATTAGAAAAATAGAAATGTGATCAAATACTGTATGGATATGTATGGATAATAGACGATGATGTGGCCATATGATGCCATACCAGACAACCTGGATATTCTGCAGCCAGGAGGAATCACAAAACACGGGCCTTGTCTTCATCTCTTCTGTTCATCTCCTGGGTGAGCAGGGCCGCACTGGCGACACAATTTTCCTCTCCGGTCTGGCAAAACCAATACGGATGAGAGCGAGAGAAGCAAAAAGGGAGCTAGAATAGAAACTAGAAGGTGAATGAAGGCACGGTGAAATTTAGCGACTGGGATGCAAACTGTTTTCTCTTGACCTAGAGGGTTTTCTCGACCTGTGACTGGGGTGGCGGCCGCTTGCAGCATCTGACTGCGCACTGCGATTCCCTCGCACTCACCTGAGTGGCCCACGGAGCTGCAAAACATGCGTAAAAAACGTGCCCTCATACACACAGCACATGTCTCTCCAAAGCAGTCAATTCTGCAGCAGTGAAACACAAACGTTATTAGAATGCGTGTAAATCGATGGCAACTTACAGTATGTGAAACAATGACAATGCTACAAAACACTGCGTTAACCTCGACTGGACATAGACTGTATCAATATCTACTTGTACCCATGATATCCATGTCAACATGAGTAATTATTTATGATATCTAGCGCCCCAAAAAAAATTGGCCGAACAGGCAACAACACCAAAAAACAGCAGCAAAAACAACACATTCTGTCCTTGAACCCTACCAGCTGCGCTTCGACAGGCGGCATTTGAGGATCTCGTACTCCTCCCTCAGCGACATGTAGGCCGGGGCCTGGCGTGATGGTCGTCCGTGCAAGTTGCTCCTTTCCCTGATCCCCAAAAGAGCAACAATCTAGGTGTATAGGTACAATACTTTTACAATCCATCCAATAACTTATAACCATATATAACATATATGTATATTTGCAATAATTAATAGTGCATGGCTCCGTCCAGTAACTTATTCGTAAGCCGATCCGATAGGCGATCTCCCGAGCCTTGTGGATCGCGTCCAGGACGCCAGATTGAAGCTGCACCTGGCAGGTTGCAACCTTCCGAAGCAGGATCGAAATCATGAACGTGGAATTTCATCACTAATTAACACCCCAAATATACCACAAATAAGAATTTCACCACTCAAAATTGTGGGTTTCCCCACCAAAACACTATTCAACACCCGAACATGGAGATAAAAACCAAGCAAGAATACCAAAACTTGGAAAATGATTACTGCCAAGTACCGCTAAGACAATGGGGGACATTTTTGCGCCATGTGGTCCAAAGCCCACTTCAGCCGCACCATGTCGTTCTCAACTTCTGCAATCCGCCCTTGCCTTGGACCCAATCTCACCATTTCCGGTGGGCTATGGAGGTTTCCAAGGTGAACAAAGCCTGGTGGGGAACAAACTAAGCATCTTTAAGCATCTAAGGCTCCATTTTTGGCCCCATTTTTGGTTCCCATCCAGTTCCTTGGCTCCCCAGGCAGCAAAAAACATCACCTGCTCTATAGGCCCTAAACAGATCCAGGTCACAGAACCGCATTCTGTTCCTCCAGCGTCACCTTCCATTGCTCCAGCCTGCACCGTGCTTTAAATGGATCCGTGGCATTGTTGCTGTTGTCGTCGTCCCTGTTACCAGACCATAAAGACCAATGTTGTCAGGTTATGTCAGGTTTATCATTAAACGAAAAGAGGTCTAATGTAGACTCTGGATGAATAAACCCTGGTTGACTACTTAGGGGGGTTTCCCCAATAGATAGTGATCATGTACAGCCCAGGGAATTATATAATCTCGGGTTGACATCAAAGCCAAGCACGGGGCACAGGTATGGCTATTGGGTCCACCACATCTCAACCCTGGCACCATTCCGCTAACATCCCTTTCGGTCTTTCTATCTGTATACCTCTGTGCCAACCATATATACCCTCTGGAAAATCCTAAGCTTTTTATGGAAACTTTGGGATAACCATCCATGGGTGACTTTTCATTGCCAGATTCAATTGCTGGAGGCTCTTCTCATGGACCGGACAATCAATCTCTGATGCACCAACCTGAAATCCGATCTGCGGTGACGTCGCAGTGTTGTTTCTACGAGTATCTAGGTCAATCGATTGGTTTCGGGGAACATATTCAGAAGACGCTGGTTCAACCAGCCCCAAAATTTCAGGTATCAATATGTATCAATAAAATGTTCCGAGTTATGGGCAACTCCCCTAAAAATATGATCTTCAAAATTAGTTGAAGCCCCATAAACACCCATAATTCATGGTTAAATCCTAATAATTCCCAGTCCCAGACAAGTCCCAGTTTTTATTGCACTTTCCGAAAAATTAAGTCACTAAATCCCGGTGTTCATGCCGGGAATCATGAAGCACTTCCCTGTTTTTTCATGGTGAAATCCTTACCCTCTGGTAAACTAACATAGCTACTGAAAATTGCCATTTATAGTGATTTTTCCCATTAATAGCATGGTGGATCTTTCCAGTTCGCTATGTAAACGTTTACCAGAGGCTATAATCACCATTAATCATTAATCACCATTAATTGTCATTATTAACCACTATTAATCACTATTCCAATGGTAAGTCCACAAGAAAAATCTCCAGTTCCTTCCCGAGGCTCGGCTGAGGAAACCAGGCTTTTGAGTTTTCGCCGCCAAGTCGGCCACTTCCTGCTCCGCGCTCTTGGCACGGCTCAACTCGGTGCGGATGACGCGGCGATTTTTTGGGTGGGTTTTCATAGGCCTTCAAAACATATGGACAACTTACCCTCTGGTTATGTCAAAATAGCTATTGAAAAATGGCCATTTATAGTGGATTTTCCCATTGAAAATGGTGATTTTCAATAGCTATGTTAAATTACCAGAGGGTATTCTGTTGGGGGTCCTGTTAGCTTTCCCTTCGTCCAATGGTGGGTCAAAGCTATAGGTGATTGCTCCCTTTTGAGGCGGATGAGTTTGCTTAGAGCCCGGCCACTGACTGATATTTCTTGTCAGCCTCTGCGTAGTCCCTGGCGAGACGAAGTCAGCTAAGGAGCGTCGAAAACAAGGTACCATTCCTGCCATTTCCTGCCTCACGGTCTTATGATATAGCTCATGATGCACTAGAGTTAGAGATTTCCACACATATTCACCGTGAAGTCTTAACTTGGTTAGCAGATTGATGACCATTAATAGGCATGATTTTTTACATCGTCTTTAAGGTAACGGTGCATCCTTGCCATCCCGACACCCATCCCCACCGTTGCAGCAGGTCCAAGGTCTGCATCAAGTGCTCCTGCATCTGTGGGTCCCGCAACTCCTTACTGAGGTGCAGCACCACCTTGGGCAAGTGCTGGAAGAAGTCCTTCCCGTCGCTGAGGCAGTAGGCAGCGCAGCAAGAAACGGCGGCCCAGGTGAAAAATGTTAGGACAGGTCTTGGGTGCCCCAAAAAAAAAAAACAAAAAAGTGACAATTCTACTTTACCAACAATGACAATAGCCAACAAAAATGGGGAGGTCGTAATCAACTATAGCAAGCTAAGTTTGGTTTATAACTCCAATTAACTGTTGTGGTATATCCGATTATACTTGATGGTGGCTATATGTGGCTATAAACCATCAAACATACCTGGGGGGACCATACTGTAGTGAAGATGGGCAAAGCTCCGGCGAACCTTTATCAAAAAAAGAGGCTGCATTGATGGGATAACATATGGGCTAAAGATGGGCACAGTAATTATCAAACCAAGATCTATCCAGGAAAAATATGGAAAAATGCCATTTCCTGCAAGTGGGAAGCTTTGCCAAAAAGACCATGTTGAGACCCAGTTCCTTGATGTTGGCTGTTCCCCCTTCCGCTTTGTGTGAAAAGTGCACAACTCTCTTCCTGGCGCAGCCGGGAAGAAACAGGGCTGGAATCAACATGGTAAATAAGTGATAAACTGGTGAGCTCTGATTACAATAGAGATTAATTACAACGTCTCATCCTGGGTCGTCTATGATTCCGAACAATTTGTGCGTATAATTCCTGCGTTGGCAAGTCTCTTCGGGATATTCTGGAGGTGAGCCGTGAGCCCCCTTATGATCATGTATGGTGAGACCGTTGCGGTTCTTTAACTGCATACTGACCATTAATCCTTCCACAATCATCTTCACAGCAAGGCCTTTCTTTTTGAAGCGCTGAGCGCTCTTTCTGCTTCAAAGTTTCTGCTTCCTCGCCAGGACGAGTACTGATGTTGGTTCGGATCCAAATCATATATATATATTTTTTAAAAAAAAATGTCGACTGATTAGCGTGAGGGCCCCCAAAAAAAAAACAATTTTAGTCTACTCAATAACTGACCATTTTTTTGCGCCCCCCCCCTCAACAATTTGTTTGAATATTTATTGTTTATTGATTTCAATTTACTTTCAATTGAAATCAATTTACTTTCAATTGATTTCAAATTACTTTCAAATGATTTTCAATTGAATTCATTTACTCAAAGAAAGGTGGAGAAGGTTTTTGCTTTTTTTTCAACCCCAAAAGTTGTTGGGCACAATAGAGTACCATCCAAACATTCATATTATTGAGTAACTGAGCCACTCATGAGGTACCCCCTTGAAAAATTGTCTGGATGTTGTTTTTTAAAAAGGGTTTAATAAGGCATCTAATTATTTGGAAAACCTTGCATTTTAAAGTTTTAACACAAATATGGCTTTCTAAAGTAAATGGACCAGCTTTACTCAAAGAAAGGTGAGAAGGTTTCTGATTTGTTTCAACCCCAAAAAAGTTGTTGGGCACAATAGAGTACCATCCAAACATTCATATTATTGAGTAACTGAGCCACTCATGAGGTACCCCCTTGAAAAATTGTCTGGAGGTTGTTTTTTTAATAAGGGTTTAATAAGGCATCTAATTATTTGGAAACCTTGCATTTGAAAGCTTTAATTTTAATTTAAAAAAAATGAAAAAACTGAAAAACATGTTTAATTAATCTAAACATAAATTCAATAAATAGGAAAATTAAAAAAAAAACATGAATCAAAAAAAAAAAAAACGAAAAAACTTGCCACAATAGAGGCCCCCCCCAAACATCATGGAACTGAATAAGGAGGAAAAACAAGTGCCACAATAGAGTACCATGCTACTAATCGGGTGCCAACATTACATATAAATATATGTGTTTTGCATATGTATATGTGCATATATAGTATATAAGGTACTCAGAGGTATATAATCATATATATATACATGTATATACACACATATCGCTAAGGGGTTGCAGCGGGTCTGAATACGGACCAAACACTATCGAGCCCCGCCTTCAGTTTGGACAGCTGCTGGGTGAGTTCCTGGAGACATGGGACGGACCCTGCCATACACTGCCATGGAATATAAGCAAAATCATCTCCAATCAACCCACTAGCACAACTCCTTATCAACCACATGAACTTTTAAATAAACAAAACTCACGGCCAATCTGCCCCCCAAAAAATAGCTGGTTACAATCTTACCTCTCCTTTAAGGCAGATGATGCAAAGTATGAAACTAGCCATCCAAGGTTGTCAACTTGAGCTCCAATGATCTTGACCCCCCATCTTCGTTCTTCACCGCGGTCAAGCCCATCTGAAATCCCCCATTTTTTGCAAAAAAAAACTCGATTTTAGGTGGCAACAAATTCCGCGAGCCATGCCTGTAGCTTCAACTGGGACGATTCCAGTTTAGCCTTGGACCAGTGCAGGGCCATCAGGGTCATGGCTTCATAGGTCATCCCAGCAGGGAATTTTTTTCGGGGGGACCACCACCTTTTTATATGTGAATGGGCATGTAAAAAAAAACTGGGAATATCATGGGCATATGATGGGACGATCTTTTATGTTGTTTTTTTTCTCGGTATATATTTTCCCTAGTTTTTTTTGCATGATGAAAATGGGCATGTATTGGGAATATGATGGGAATTATTGATTCACCAACCATATGATAGCTGGATTGTCTGCAAATCCGGTATCCCCCCCGAACAAAACGGCCGTCAAATTCGCTTGCGCGGAAAATGATGATCCACTCAATCCCCAGTTGGAGCACTCATTTTCTCAGACAAGCCCCCAGTTTGTAAGTGGTTTAGAAGCAGTTTGTGAAATGAACTCTCAACATCTCTCAACCCAGTTGCCAACTGCTTACTGGCATCGAGTCGTGGGACAAAATTCTGCAGCCCAGCGGGGCAGCCTGGGTTTCGACCAGCTCGCGTTGAATGGAATCACGAAGTTTGTCCTGCCGCAAGAGATGATCCCTACAATGAAGCCCTGGGTTGAAGAGCCCCACTTACTGTTAGTATATAATGCCATAGAAAAACATCTCCAATTTTACCATTTTGATGGGTGGTATATGGTGGTATAAAGTACCCATATGGATGGTTAGCCCAGGATCTGCTCTCAAAACAGATTGCCCCAAACCAACCAGCGCATCCACTTTGGCTCCTTCTCATCCATGGTCTTCAGCAACTTCTTCTTGCCCCTTAGCGTGAGCAAGCCATGTGAGCAACCATCTTCAAGCCATGTTTCGTCCATCTCTGGGGTTTCAAGGGTAACTTGTTCATGGTGATAACAAGGCTCCACTGGGCATTTCAGAGTCCTAAGTCCTCAACTCTTCAGTTGCCTCTGTGTTGACCTGAAGGCGATGGGCTGAAACTGAAACAAGGTCCGGCCAAAACGAAGTATATATATATATATTGTATGTATGTATGTATGTATTGTATTGTATTGTATTGTATTGTATTGTATTGTATTGTATTGTATTGTATGCATGTTTGTATGTTTGTATGTTTGTATGTATGTACGTACGTACGTACGTACATACATACATACAAACGCACGCATATATATATATATATTTACATACATACACAACATTACATTACATTACATTACATTACATTACATACCATTACATTACATTACATTACATTACATACCATTACATTACATTACATTACATTACATACCAGTACATACCATTACATTACATACCATTACATTACATTACAGTACATTACATTGCATTACATACATACATACGTACAATATATATATATATATGCGTATATATATATATATATGTGCGTGTGTTGATTGTGTGAACCGGGGATTGCTTGCCCGATTATGTCCTGGTACTTGGGGTTGAAAGGAAATGTTCCAGTGACGACTTCACTCGGATGGCGGCTTCCGCATGGCGGTTCTTTGCTCTGATGCTGCAGTGGGTCTTGAGCCAAAAGGGCGAGTGTCGTACCCTTTGGCTGTGGATCTTAGAGTGTTGAATTATGTGATATTGTACAATGGTCCGTAGCCTACACTCTATTCGCACCCCCCACGCATGGCCAACTTTGTCGGCCACGCGCTAAGGAATGTCCCTTGAATTGATCCACTATATCTGCAGTTGTTCATTTATTGAATTATGGAGAGCTAAAGTCCGTTCAGAACTTTACATCTACATGGCGGCTTGCTACGATCTCTACCAAAAGATAAAAGGTTCTGTTCACGTGCATGTAGACACGACGTAGTCGGTGTCTAGCATTGAGGTTCATCCGATGTGGCGTAGCCAGCATGGAATCCCAATCAAGCATGTGAATTAAAGAAATCAAAACACAAAGTTGACTATGGAACTAGAAGTTTACCTTCCCGTTCCTTCGTCGGTTGAGATGTAGACCGCTGTAGAAACTCAGCGTCTCGTTCAATGATGTTCAAAAAAATGTGTGGTTCTAAATTAGTCGGCTCAGAGTCCTCTCAGAAATCATTCGAAATGAAATAGAGGCAAATCTCGAGCAATGATTGCATCCTCGCATCGCCAGGTTCAATCAGGACCTATGCAGAGGTCATATCGATTTATCATTTATATCCCCATCCATAGTATCCCTGATGGTTCCAGTCTCCACCACGGTGCGAATAATATCTTCCACCTTTTCCTTTGTCTTTTCCACCTTTCTGTGGCGGGGTTACTGGAGCTTGTTTTGGCGGAGGAGCGGTTTCAACTGTTCTCCATGTTGCTGATGATGATGCTTTCGCCTTTGACACCCTGCCCAGAGCTGCTGCCGCTTTCGGGGCTGCTTTCGATTTGCCAGCGGCTTGGTTGGCTCGTTCACGATCGGCAGGAGTTGGGGTATCAGCAATCGCAAGTAGGTGGGCGTCAGTCATGTGGATGCCCCATCTTGGTCGTTGATCGTCCCGTTGTTTGATGTGGTTGTAGTCGTCGATCGCATCATACAGCTTCTGTAGTAGAGGTCGTGGCAATTGTCGGCCGTTTTGAAGGATCAGGTGCAAAAGTGATATTCTTCGAAGTGCGGGACGAAGAGCACACACAATGTCAACTGGGTTCAGTGTGATTGTGTCTTGAAAGTCGACGTTCCTGAAGAAATAAACAGCATTCACCCTGTATGCACCTGCAATGATTCTTCTGACCATGACGTCTTGTCGGTCAAGGGCGTCGCGGGCCGCTGTGGTCTTCCTCATCTCATCCATCGTTGTGTCACGTTTCGACAGCTTCTCCATCTCTTCATCGAAGAAGATATTTTGCAAGTCTTCATATGTATAACCGCATTCAAGGGTATACACGAGAAGTCGTTTGAGTACCACCGACCCATAGTATGCATTGACGAATCCCTCTTCTCCGATGTCGTCCTTTTGATTTGGTCGGCCGATCTCTTCGTAGAGCTCTTTCATCTGTTGTGCAGTTGGTTCAATGAGTTCACCATTCTCATCCTCGCCTAGGTAAGGCACTCTTGAGTCCAGGTCCATCCTGAATTTTCGGGTCTGTTTAAATGTTTCCATGCCGTATCGATGTCACCACAGAAGTTCCGTTGGAATAGCCTGTAGATCCTGACGATATGCAATCCAATCTGTAACAGGAGGATTTTGATGAGCTCCGGCTGAGCATCTCCAATTGTGCAAGGCTCGATTGGTAGGACCTTTGATCCGAATTCAATCCGCTTCATCCACTTGGGGTACTCAATCACTGCATCGCGAGCTTCTCCAGCCTCATACTCTTCAATGTTGATCTCACCGACCGCAATTTCTTCATCGTCATTTTCATCGGTCGGTTTTCCTTCCTGGTTGAGAAATTTGTCGACCTCATCTTGTTCTCTGAAGTCTCTTTTCTCATCATTGATGTCGCTTTTCTTCGAGGCTTGATCATCATCTCCCTCTTCTGGTTGAGGTTCTTGTTCTGGACTCTTCATGTTGATGTCATCATCATCTGGCATCATCTCGTCGCCATCACCATCACCTGTCAAATCGATCTTCACCTCCTCCCAAGCTTTCTTGACATGGTCTTTGAGGTCTTCTTCTCGATGATGTGATTCGGCACTTGGTACTGTAGCCACGGTGATCTTGATTCGTTTCCTCCATCCATGACTCACCAAAAATCCTTTGCACATCACGCAAATCGATAGTGGCGCAGGGGTCTCCATCAGACATGCGGGGCATAGTCGATGGTCCTCCTTGCTGGGATGATGAGTGACTGCCAACAATGATATTGCATCATTCCAATCCGGATGTCCAGGGAACAATCTGTGAGCATGACTGAAGTGACCGGTCTTGATATCGACAAGCTTTCGAAGTTCATCCAGATCGGGTGATGATTCATCAGGCACAATGTTCCCAATGAGTTTGTCAAATCGTTCAATGGTGGCTACCCTCCTTGCTCCTTGTACAGAAAGCACGAGTTGATCTCTCCCCTTCGTGATCATAAGACGGTAGTAGTCCTTTTCCTTGCAATCATAGTACCAAACGGCATCGAATGATTCGAATGGAATTGTTTCTTGGACCAAAATGTGTCCGTCTGCTGACAATCGAGGGGAGAACTTGGCAAGGGAATCGTACGTGATGTAGATGTAGACAAGATCAGTTTGTTCGATCTTCCTGAATCTCAGCACCGACTGACTTCGTACGTCCCACGGTGCGAATGGCACGAAGAACGTGTTGATTCGGTCGCCTCCTCCTCCGGGACGTAGTCCTTCTCTGAAGATTTGAGCGATGTTGTCAAAGGTGGTGCAATGAAATCCTCCTCCAAGAGTGTATCCGACTCCAGGGTTCATTTGATAGGAAGTCTTCTTGTCTTCAATGTGCACACCTCCTTGAACTCTTGAATGAGCCATAGGGGCACGGATTGCCACCGGCCATAGCCAAATCTCTCGATCTGCTGTTCCGATTTCCAATCTCAGCGTTTGTCGTTCAAGTCTCGAGGTCAATTCGTCATTGAAGTTGTTCATGATGTGTTCCAACTCACCTTTCGTGACTTTGAGTCCTAGCACTTGAGCTCGGATCCTCTTCGTCTGCTTGTACTCAGTGAAGATCACTCTCTGGAAATTGTTCCACCTCTCAACAAGTATTGGGTAGTTGACGCGGGTCGTTCCAGCCAATGTATGTTGGTCTCTCCAAATGTTGTCATACTTCAAGATCGATTCGACATTGACCCAACCTGCTTCATCGCATGGTAGTCCACGGTGGTTTCGATTGTCTTTGACGCAACCCACGGAGTGGCGTAGCGCTGCATTGAATCTTTTCGACAATTCGACTATCCATTGCGGATTGTCCCACTTGTCTCCCATCCACTCATTCTCGCCATATCGATGCACCCTACACCAGCCCATTCCCAGATATTCTTCTCCATTGATGCGAGCAAGTTGAAGTGTACCAATGTTGTGGCCATGTGTGAATGGTTGGATGTACTTGAAGTTCCAGTTGTCTCCACGTTGTTTCCTTTCTTCAGTAAGCCATTTCACATATGCATCATGATCTTTGGGGTTCCAAGCGTTCAGCTCTTCAATGGTCGGCAAAACAGGTGGGGATTCCTCAGCCGCACGTTCAATCAGCATATCAAGCTCGTGACGATTCTTCACACCTCGGCTAATTGGGTTGACTTCGACACCATTCGCTAAGTATTGTCCTCCTTCTTCACGATCACCAATGTCGTACATATAGGCTGACTGACTGTAGAAGCATTTGGTCACTTCTTCTTTCTCAGTGAATCTGGTTCTTCCCCAACGTTTTCCTCGTGGCATGACATTCTTTGGGAGCTTGTCTTTTCTGCCTCTTGTTGCGGCATTGGATTTCTCCGAAGATGATGGAGATTTGGACTTCTGATCCATGATCAACCTCATGCGCCATATGGAGTCCCTCACTTTCTCATCATCTGGTGTGGTACATTCATCAATGTCATGCATTCCACCGCAAATGAGACAATATTGGACACTCTGCGCATCTGCAATCAGCTTCTCAAATCGATCACGGATGTCCCGCACCTCAGTTCGGCGCTTCTTCGCCTCCGAAGGTTGGCCCCCCACGTCATCTTCCTCCTCCTCAATCTCGATGTCACCGGCTCCGGCATCGGTTTCTCCTGAAGTTTGGTCTGCTCGAGTGCCCCGCGCCGTAGGCGTCGTGGTCTCGTCCTCAGGTTCGCCAACTTCATTCTCCTCCTCATCGCTTGAAGAGATCTCAATCATCTCAGGATGGTCGTCGTAGTTGGCTTCCGGGAGAATCGGCATTCTGGTAATCTTCTTCTGCATGAGTAGTTCGAAGATTCCCGCTTCTCTCAAGATTGTAATCACCATGTTGTTCTCGACCGGTGGAATGTATGCTTTCCTGGATCGGTTTCGCTTTGTGTTGATGGTGTCGGTA